TCCAAACTGGATGAGCACTGTCTGTAAGAATCCCCCTTGTCGTAGCCTTGACACAGGGCTGCCCATCACACGTCCACATTCTGGCCAGCCTAGCAGGGTGAAATGTGACCTTGTGGTGGTCTGAGTTTGCATGGCTGCCACAGTAGTGGTGTGCACCTGCAGACTTTGAGATGGTCACTCCAAGTTCTAGGCCACCTGGGGTCGGGGAATTAGCTCAGTGGTAGAGTGCTTGCCTAGCAAGCACAAGGCCCTGGGCTCTGAAAAAAAAACAAAACTTCCAGGCCACCTGAGGTGACATGGTAACACCTTGTTTCAAAACATACAAAAGTTCCCCAGGGCAGGTGGTGGCGCACACCTTTAATCCCAGTGCTGGGGAAGTAGAGCCAGGTTGATCTCTGTGAGTTCCAAGCCAGCCTGGTCTACAGAGTGAGTTCCAGGACAGCGAGGAAGGGCTAAGCTGTTGGGTGTCTTCACATGTTGACCCGCTGTTCACATTTAGTAAGTTCATTTGGCTCTTGTCCCTTGGAATAGTCAGTCCTCCCTCTCTCCTGTATTCTGAGGCAGTGGCTCATGTATCCCAGGCTAGCCTCAAATTCACCATGTTGTCCAAGATGACTTGAACGCTCGATCTTCCTCCTCCACTTCCCAGTGCTGAGAATGGACGCAGAAAGGCACATGCAGCTACGTCCAGGGCCTTGAGCATGTTCCGTGACCACTCGACAACTGAGCAGTATCCTAGGCTTTTGGCTGCTTTTTTCTTTTTATCAATTCACAGGTGTGCCCCCCCGCCCCCCGTTACACAGGGTTTCTCTGTGTAACAGCCCTGGCTGTCCTGGGACTCACTCTGTAGACCAGGCTGGCCTCGAACTCAGAGACCCTTCTGCCTCTGCCTCCTGAGTACTGTGATTAAAGGCATTCACCACCCCACCATGCCCTGCTTTCATAGGTGTTTTCTATTGTTTGTGGAACTATTTTGTTAATAGTATAGTGTTTGATACAGAAAGGTGTAAACAATATAAAAATGCTTTTATTCCCTTTTTTCCCCAATTACATTTAGTGTGTGTGTGTGTGTGTGTGTGTGTGTGTGTGTGTGTGTGTGTGAGGTACAACTTGTGGGAGCTAATTCTCTCTCCTACCCTGTGGGTCCTAGGGATGATCTTGAACTTAGGCTGGCAGACTTGCTTGCAGGACCCTTCACTCACTGAGCTGGCCATCATTCATCCTCCTTTTTGGACAGAGGCACTCTTAGCTCAGGCTGGCCTTAAAATCACTATATAGTCTAGTCTGGCCTTAAACTCATAGCAATCTTTCTGCATTAGCCTCCTAACTGCTGGTATTATAGGCGTGTGCTGTGTGAGTACACAGCTTAAATATACCGTTAAAACAATAATCTTAAATCATACATGGTAGTGCATACCTTAATCTTGGCACTTGGGCGGTAGAGGCAGTTGGATCTCTGTGAGTTCAAGGCTAACCTGGTCTACACAGTGAGTTCCAGGACAGCCAGGGCTATGTAGAGAAACCCTACCTCAAACAAACAAGCAAGCAAACAAATAAACAAACACCCAAACAAAAACAAACAAACAAAAGAAATAAACTTTCATCAAACGAAAAATGTTATAAAGTGGTGTTGTGGTTTAGATTGTAAATGTCTCTCAAAAGTACAAGTATCCAGCCAGGTGGTGGTGGCACATACCTTTAATCCCAGCATTTGGGAGGCAGAGAGACAGACACAGAGAGAGACACAGAGAGATTGATTGATTGAATGATTGATTGATTCATTCATTCTATAAGTTCTGTGGCTCCAGAGAGCCCCGACTAGTACAGTGCTGGTGCTGGGTTTGAACTCAGGGCCGCCTAGGTGCTAGAGGGGCTAGGTGAGCACTCTGCCGCTACACTATCTCCAGTCCAGCGGTGTTTATTTTTGAGACACTATCCCTGTGTAGTTTGGCCTGGCTTTGACCTGGCTGTGTAGCTCAGGCTAGCTCGAAATTTACAATCCTCCTGCTTCAGCCGTTTAGTGCTGGCATTACGGGCTTGTTCCCCCATGCTTTGTTTAAACGTTTTTATAGAATATGGTGTACGGTAGTCGTGGCCGAGTGGTTAAGATGATGGACTAGAATATAGTGTATGATAATTAAACGAAATAGTATGCTATTGATAGACATAGACTGTTCCTGCTGGTTTTATGTAGTCCAGGCTGGCCTCAAACTCACTATTTAAGCTAAAGATGATGTTGAACTCATAATTATCCTTCAGTCTCTGTCTCCCAAGTGCTGGAATTACAGGCAGTGCCACCATATGTGTGTGTGTGTGTGTGTGTGTGTGTGTGTGTATCTCATTTAATTCAGGGTGGCCTTGAATTTTCAAGGGTGTCCTTGAACTCCTGATCTTCCTGTCTCTACTTCCCAAGAGAACTGGGACTACCTCATAAAGTGCTGGGGATGTCTTTCTGTATGCTGTAAATGTGTTGCTCTGATTGATTGATAAATAAAATGCTGATTGGCCAGTAGCCAGGCAGGAAATATAGTATAGGTGGGATAAGAAGAGAGGAGAATTCTGGGAAGTGGAAGGCTGAGTGAGGAGACGCTGCCATGAGAAGCAAGGTGTAAAGTATCAGTAAGCCATGAGCCACATGGCAACTTATAGATTAATAAAAATGGGTTTATTTAAGATATAAAAACTAGATAACAAAAAGCCTGAGCCATTTAGTCCAAACAGTATAAATAATATAAGCGTCTGTGTGTTTATTTGGGTCTGAGTGGCTGCGGGCCTGGGCGGGACTGGAGATAACTCAAGCTACACTGCTGATCTTCCTTCCTCTACTTCCCAAGAGAACTGGGACTACCTCATAAAGCTGCTTTTCACTAAGTCATCTGGTGTATCAGAGGAAGCAGTTCTCTCTGTGTATTTCAGGGCCAGCCTGGTCTACAGAGTGATAAATGATCAAAAACAAGCAAACAAAAACAAAAAACCCCACCCCACACAAAGCCCCCTAAGGCTAACGTTTTACATAATGAAAACTCTTTCCAGATTTGATGGAGAGACGAGACATCCTGAGATGGATTTTAGGTGATCATGTCCTTTCATAAAACTGGCCACTCACAGTGGAGGAAGGTGGAATATGGTGGGGATCCTGCAAACAACCCCAGAACCAAGGAAAGTCCTTCTATTAGAGATGTCTGTACGAGGGGAATGGTCTCTGAATTTAGCAGATTAGTGAAGGTACTAGATGGGGAAATTAGGCTGAGATTTAGCAAGTTAATCCTATTGTCCCACTCTGCCTTGGGTCTGTTAACTGCTAGGAACTCATCTGATTGGGGAAGGAGGTCCTACATAGAGATGTAAGACCTGGCTGATGCTCTCTACTGGAGCAGCGTCTGCCTGAAGTTAAGAACATTCTACATCTGTTTTAAGATTTATTTATTTTTAAGACTTATTTATTATATATACAGTATTCTGCCTGAATGTATGCCTGCACATACACCAGATCCCATTATAGATGGTTGTGAGCCACCATGTGGTTGCTAGGAATTGAACTCAGGACCTCTGGAGGAGCAGTCAGTGCTCTTAACCTCTGAGCCATCTCTCCAGCCCCTACATCTTTTTTAAAGGTGTATTTTATTTTATGTGTATGGGCATTTTGATGGCTCATGTCTGTGTATCACATGCATGTAGTGCCTGAGGAATCCAGAAGAGATAATCAGAGCCTCTGGGACTGGAGTTACAGATAGCCAGGTGGGTGCTGGGAACCTATCTGCTCCTCTGTAAGAACAGCAAGTGAAGAACACTCTTACAATGTCTCTGGATACACTCGGGCAAAGATTTTCTCTAGAGTCTAAACACCAAGAAGGGTTTGTTAGGATGAGTGATGACCACCAAATAACCCTGAGTAATACAAACCAGCCTGCCTTCCCACCACAGTGCAGAAGTGCCCAGTCCAACAGCGCTATTGTTAGTATCTAACTTTTGCCAACATAGCACACCCAATTTGTTTTAAAAGCCAGTCCATTAAAAGCGGCCGCTACAGCTTTAACAAATGCTCTGGATTAATAATGAGCTTCAGAACCGAATGTGCTTGCTGTCACATTAGATTTGATTTTCAAAGCAACTGCCCAGCTTTTTCTAAAACTCATTTTTCAGTGGGGTTCATTTTGTTCAGCTACTTCATACTTGGGATAGCGGCTGTCACGATCTTCTGGTTCACAAATACCTCTGGTGCTATGTGGTTTGCATTTTTATCTGTATAGCATATTGTGAAGGTTTTATCAATTCATTTTTCCCGGCCGGTCACAGATCCAGAAGATAGTCTAGGTTATTGCCCCCCCCCCCCAAAAAAAAAAAAAAAGCTCCTGGTTTTGCACTTCATTTAGGTCTTTCATTCACTGTTTTGTTTTTGGGTTTTTTGGTTTTGTTTTGTTTTGTCTTGAGACATGGTCTCTCTACAGAGCTGTCCTGGTGCTCACTGTACAGGTCAGGCTGACCTCGAACCCACAGAGATTCACCTGCCTCTGCCCCTCGTGTGCTGGGGCTAAAGGCGACCCCTGGGCGCGCGCCTCCACCCCGCTCCCATCTGGTTCACTTGAATTTTGTGTGACATGAGAAGAGCCCAATTTGTTCACTTCCCTAGTACAGGTAAGACAGTCTCACCACCTCCTACAGAAAAGGCATCATATTCTGCTGGCTCTGCAGTACCTGTCTACTTTAGGGGTCCCTTCCCCTTTTATCACCAACATCACTACCTTGCTCATATTCTTAAAGTTCTTAAGCTTCTCGTGTTCGCTACACATTTTCATCTTTACGTATGAAAACGCCACGAGAAGCTTACCTGGGCTGCCGGGCTGGGGTGGCGGACGCCTTTTAATTCCAGCACTCGGGAGGCAGAGCCAGGCGGATCTCTGTGAGTTCGAGGCCAGCTTGGTCTACAGAGCGAGATCCAGGGCAGGGTCCAAAACTACACAGAGGAACCCTGTCTCGGAAAAACAAAACTAAAAGCTTACCTGGGCTGTGAACCTACACGTAAAGAAAACAGCTAATACACAATCAACTTTTCCAGAGACCGTGCGTAGCCCACCGCGCATGCGTGTGTCCTGCCCCCCTTCCCCAGAGCACCACGCAGGCGCGCCCAGGCTCCCCCCCCCCCCACACACACAGGGAAGTGCGCCTGCGCCGACCGACGCCCCGCCCCGCCCCTCGCCCGCTATAAAACCTCGTGCCTTTCCTCGCGAGAGACGACTAGCTCATGCTCGCCGCAGGGGTCGGAGGTCAGGGCGAGCGTCTCCCGGGCCGAAGGAGGAAGATGGCGGTGGAATCGCGCGTTACCCAGGAGGAGATTAAGAAGGAGCCCGAGAAGCCGATCGACCGCGAGAAGGTGCGGGCCGCGGGCCGCTGCGGGGCAGAGGCGGCGGGCGGGCGGGCGGACGGGCGGACGCGGCCTGCGGACGGACGGGTGGGCGGGAAGGGCCAAGCGGCGCGGCCGCGGCTGACTCCCCGCCTCTCCGCAGACCTGCCCGCTCCTGCTGCGGGTCTTCACCACCAACAACGGCCGCCACCACCGAATGGACGAGTTCTCCCGCGGGAACGTGCCCTCGAGCGAGCTGCAGATCTACACCTGGTGAGCCGCGCGGGGCTGGGGCCTGGCGGGCTGCGCCCTGGGGGACCGGGCTCTGCTGCGGGAGGGAAGCGGGCTCGCCCGCCCCGGAACGCCTGTAGGCGCGGTGGCGAAGCGTTAGGTTGGAAGGAACTGGCCGGCGTCGCTCTCAGCATACGGCCACCGGGCACAAAAACACGTAGGTGGTTTAAAAGGCGGGAGTGGGACGACGGTAGGTGGTCGGGGGTTGCTTGGCTGTTGCGTGGCGTTCTCAGAGCATCGGCAATCTGACGCCTCCCAGTAGCGAGCGCAGCACCAGGAATTAAAAAGCACCAGCAAACCCCAGTCCTTTCTGCACTGGCGCTTGGTGTAAAAGCATTTGGTGGTGGTTCAGTGAAGACGGCTGTTCAGAGGTTTGGTCGAATGTTTTTATCTCCGCGTTACTGCCTTGCTGCCCGCTCAGCTGGGACCACACAAGCTTGTCCTTCGTATTGTGTCGGGCTAACATCGTAATGGCTTTTGAAAAGCAGTAAAAGCTAATTTTAATATATTTTTTGTTGTAAAATATAACACATTTGCCACTTTAACTTTTGAAAGTTGTGCAACGTCTGCTCCTAAAATCTTTTCACACACTTCACAACTGGAAACTCTGCACCTGTTAATCAAGCAGTAATTTCTTAGTACAGGTGGATCTGAGTTCGAGGACAGCCAGGGCTACACAGAGACTCTGTCTCAAACAAACACCCCCAAAAATAATGGGTAGTGATTAGACTTATAGGGAAGAACTATTCAGTAATGGCTTAATGTAAACCACTTTTCAAATATTAAAATTTCCATGTGTCTCCCAACAAAGATGATTTCCAATTTGCTAGTACTTTCCTTACATTCTCAGGATATAATGTGCTGCCTTTCCATACAGTGAGCTCAGCTTTTCAGAGAGGGTTACCTCTCTATCTGTAGAGATTGTTCCAGAACCACGTGGATATAAAAATCTTGGAATACTCAGGTTTTTTACTTAAAAAAAAAAAAAAAAAAAAAAAAAAATGAATGTAGTGTTTACCTAGAACCTGTGCACATCCTGCAGTGTATCCTTTTAGGACTTTCAGCTGATAAATTCAGGCCTACCCAGATTGTTAAAGCTTATTTAATACAACCCCCCCCCCCCAGGGTTTCTCGGTAGCTTTGGTGCCTGTCCTGGACTAGCTCTGTAGCCCAGGCTGGTCTCGAACTCACAGAGATCCACCTGGCTCTGCCTCTGAGTGCTGTGATTACAGGCGTGCGCCACCACTGCCCGGCGCTATTTAATTAAAAAAAAAAAATCGCCTCAAAACAAAAGCAAATTAGTTATCTCACCGCAGAGTTTATACCAGCATTGAAGGTCACTGGAGGCAAAATTTAAATTTTCCGAGTTAACTGCGGAATAGGATATGAATTCTGACAGTAAAATGCCGCTGCACAATTAAGAAGGTAACAGCGTGAGTCTTTTTATCTGAAGTTTTACAACTCATTTGACTGCACAGTGAACTACATTTCTTCTGAGAAAATAAGATTTTATTTGAAATATACTTAGCATGAACTATATATTTTTATGTCATAGTTTCAGTAGGATGTATGGCTGTTTTGCCTGCATGTACGTGTGTGCACCACATGAATGCCTGGTGCCCACTGAGGTCAGAAGTGGGTGTTGGATTCCTGGGACTGGAGTTACAGATGGTTGTAAGCTGCCATGTCAGTGCTGGGAATTGAAACAGGGTCTTTGCAAGAGCATCCAGTGCTCTTAACTGCTGAGCCAGCTCTTCAGTACCCCTCCTCCCAACCCCCACAATATCTTTCAAAAAAAAATTTTTTTTTCCGTTTTAGGCCGAGTGGTGGCACACACCTTTAATCCCAGCACTCGGCAGGCAGAGGCAGGCGGATCTCTGAGTTTGAGGCTAGCCTGGTCTACAGAGCGAGTTCCAAGACAGCAGGACAGCCAGGGCTGTTACACAGAGAAACCCTGTCTTGAAACCTCCCCCACCCACCCCCAAAAAAAGAAGAAAAGAAAAAAGTTTTTTAGGCCCTGGAGAGAGAGCTGAGAGGATAATAGTTCTTACAGGGGTCCAGAGTTCAGCTCCCAGCACACATAGGGTGATCCAGTGCACTCATCTGGCCCACATAGACAGACACTAGGCACACACATGGTGCACATTAACATATATGCAAGTCGAATACTCATACACATAAAACAAAAAGTTAATCTTTTCCAAAATCCCTCTTTCTGTATACAATCCCTTTTCTTGCATACATGCTTAGAGAGGCCCACAGTAATGTTAATAGCACTGATTATTTTTTAATTGGTAAGAATTGGGCTATAATTCATTGCATTCTAGAAAAGTAATGCATATACGTTCTTCCTGCAATTTATAAAATGGCCTTTGGTCTGGAATATTCCCATGGCAAAAGACAGGGTAGACCTTCCAGCCTGTTTGTAGAAATATCTTTCCCTGTGGTTGTGGGCTTGGTTACTTATTTGTTCTGCTTAAGTGTGTTTGTACCACTGCTTTGTCTGTTCCCAGTGGGCAGGAATGCCAGCTTGGGGGAGCCTTCGCTGATCTAACGTGTTTCTTTATGATAATACAAGGACTGTCTTTCTTGGTGACTGTGACACCTACAAGTCAATTAGCCTGACAGGTTGGAACTTAGCAGGTATCAGGCATTGGCATGCTGTGCTGTCCTGTGCATGCAGAGACCCTCCTCTAGAGGTGACAACAGGTGCCACTCCACGGCAGTTTATAGATGGGAGCTGAGGGGTAGCTCAAAAGTAAGTTGCTTGGCTCTGTGCATGAAGGCTTGGTCAGAAAACCACAAAGACAAAAAAGCCTGGAAACTTTAGAAAAGAACTCAGCACAGCTGAACAAGGAGGGAAATGGGTTTTTATCTGTGTTTAAGAGTTAGAGATAACCAGAATGTGTGTAACAAGATGAAGAAGGGAAGACTTGGAAAGGTTTAAACTAGGGCGATCGATTGGGCAGCTAAATGAGTGGTGGTAATTTTTTTTTTTTTAATTGAGCTAGCAGAAGGCATGTTCTGGAAGACTGAGTTCTAGTATGGGAATATTGAGAATGTGGTCATCCTGGGTATTTACACCCCAAGTACTTTATGGTGGTGTGGATTTGTAAAGTTCACAGTGAAAATGCAATGGGTTCTGTGGTTCTCTTCCTTGATACTATTACATCAGTGTTCTCATTCGCAAGTGTCTAATGTTCTGCTGGTTTTTTTTTTTTTTTGGTTGTTGTATGAGTGTTCTCATTCTCAAGTGTCTAATGTTCTGCTGGTTTTTTTTTTTTTTTGGTTGTTGTATGAGTGTTCTCATTCTCAAGTGTCTAATGTTCTGCTGTTCTTTTTTTTTCAGTGTTCTCATTCTTAAATGTCTAATGTTCTGTCGGCTGTTGTTGTTTGTTTTAGGATTTAGCACAAAATGCTGTTTTATGTTTAGACTTGCATTTCACTTTTCTCATTGTTATGGGCAGAAACAATATAAATGGGAACCAGGTTGTTAAACGTTGCTAAGATGTTCGTGTTTTCAGTTATTTTGTTCTAGATTGTGTATATATTAGCTTAAAGGACTATCCTTAGCTCTGAGTTCAGATAAGGCATTTAATTAAATTTAATTACTTTACATCCTAACCAGTTTCCCCGCCCTCCTCTCCCATTCCCTCCCCAACCTCCCTTCTGCCCCCCCATCTACTACTATTTTTTTGTTCAGATAAGTATTTTAAGTTAATAATGGCTTATGTTGTAAAAGGAGCCCATATTTGTCTTAAAATTTCATGTCCTTGGCTTTAGGATTCCATTATTAAAAAATGACTTTTTATTATTTTGTGTTGTGTTATGCACTTGTAGAGGTCTGAGGGCGTCTTTTGGAATATGTTCTCTCCACATTTACTTGAGAATTCTGGGGCTTGAACTCAGGACAACAGGCTTGTGCAGCAAGTGCCTTTACCTACTGAACCATCTTTTCATTACACTTCTGTGTGTACTTGTGGCGTATGGGTGTGTCATGGTTCATGTGTGGAGGTCAGAACACAGGTGGCGGGAGTTGCTTCTCTCCTTCCATCCTGCGGGTTCCGTGGATCGGATTCAGGTCATCGGGCTTGGCCGCACGTACCTTTCTTTACCTGCTAAGCCATCTTGCCTGCCTCCATCATTAAGATTCTGTGAGAGAACAAGAAATTGCATATCCTTATGAAGATTCTATCTCAGCACATTGATTCTAAGGTGCATTCCAGTTTTAGGGGCTGTAATGTATGAGAGATTATGTATTTTAGAAATTAAAACAGTTTGTATAGTTGAAAAACTTGGACTGTTTCTTGTAGGTAAGTACATCACTGATGTTATGTAGCTTCAGAAGAGGTTATGTGGGACTTTCCTTAAACTTGTAACAAGATTAATTTATTGATATTTTTAGCATTGAAGCCACCACAGGAAATATTCAGAGGCAAATCATTTTTTAAATTCTTAGTTGTGTTTGCTCACA